ATACTGTGGCACCCAAGAATCTGGTCATTAGTTTTTGGTGGGGGTGGGTGGTTGGTAGGGGTGTATGGGAGGGGGTTAAATATTTAAAAAAATCGTAACTCCAAAATTACAGTAGCTAGCGAAACGCGGTTTTCAATTTAAGATTAGGAATAATATTTGCAACAAAATTTGTAATAACATCAAAATCAGTCAAAGTCGCAGTTTTAGAGATAAAAAAAAATGCTTTTTATTGACATATTTTAGTATGGGCGGCTATACGTGCCTCCCGGCGCCATTTTTTTTGCATTATTATGCTACTTTTTTTATGAAAATAAAGTATTAAAGTAGAGAAAATAAAGATGCTACACACAGATTTGTCCTAGCCCTTCCTTTCTTATAGTTATCTTATACCTTATAGAAAAGGTGAAAACTGTGACACATGTATGTAGTTTTTACGCACAATCAAGTGGCGTAACTAGTTTTTCGCTGGGAGCTGTCATTTTAGATATGTGTGACTCTTGTGATTTTTTTATTTCTTTTGACTTTTCTGACTTTTGATTTTTTGGTATGAGCTTTCTAAATATAAAATATATTCAATTGTTACTTTCATAAATAAGGCAAACAAATGCATTATTTTACACTATATGTATACCATAAATCAAACTATTGTATAAAAGAGTATCTATTATTTTATTTTATTTAATTTAACCACTAGCTTATTGCACTGTGTTATTTTAATAAACTGCATCTAAAAATAAACTTATGCATACGCATACAACTTTTAGATAACAATAGCAACGGCCCAGCTACGTGGAAAACCGGTTCCCATTAGAACACCGAAGTTAAGCGACGTAAGGCGATACTAGTGGATGGACGGGTGACCGGTTTGAAACTCTGTATCGTGCTGTTGTCCAAAAAAGGCAAAAAGTGTAAAATCTATTGACAGACACTGCTCATTCACGCCGGTTCGAGGCCGGATGAGATCGAATATCTCGTGAGTAAGAGGCGATTTAGACACTTGCCATAGGCCTGTTCCAAACACCGTTTTAACACCGGTGGCCAAATATAGGCTATCCGGTGTTCCGGTGTCGACACCGGCACCGGTGTTGATACCGACACCCGTGTTGACACCGACACCGGTGTTTATTTCGATACCGGTGTTCATCTACAACACTGGTCTTCATCTCGATACCGGTTTTGACTACGACACCGGTTTTAATATCGACATCGGTGTTTGGTAAACGAGTTGAAGAAGAAATAATGTTAAATAATAAGTTCAAAATAAACCTGATAATAATAATGTCGTATATCGGTGCTTATTTTTATCGTTTATTAAAGCCCACCGACTTTAACTTAAAGCTTTCGAATTTAAATATATTTTTTTTGCCAGACTAATCACTAAAATAATGTGGAAGCGTAATATAAACAACTATAAAGTAAAAAATTGTTTAATCAAAAACAAATAGAAAACAAAACGAAACATAAAGAAACAAAAATTCGTAGTTGTAATATAAACTAAAAAATATTACATTAAAAAAAAACTAAAAAAAATACAAACCGCACCATCGACACCGACACCGGTATCAACACCGGTGTTCATCGTGATACCGGTGTTGAGATAAACATCGGTTTTGAGATAAACACCGGTGTCGAGATAAACACCAGTGTTGAGATAAACACCGGTGTCAAAATAAACACCGGTGTTGTAGATGAACACCGGTACCGAGATAAACACCGGTGCTGAAATGAACACCGGTGTCGGTGTTGATACCGGTACACCGACTGAAACACCAGCGGTCATCAACACCTAACACCGGTGTTCAAATCTCAACACCGAACAGGTCTAACTTGCCAAGTCGGTAGGACATTGACCATGATATGGCCGAGAACCACGGTTCGGATTCCGCGTAAACAAAGTAGGCCCCGTCAAGATTAGCCATGGCAGCAAAAAGGAGACGTTAACTGAAATCTTTACTTTTTCAGATAACACGTTGTCTATCATCATATGAAAATGGGACATCTTGTACTGTTTACCTATGTTCCACACAAGGATGGTTCGTATTAAAGAGTCAAAATGCCACTCCCACATGTTGGGTTTCCCCGTCTAATCCCCCAGTATGTTTTTGAGATCTTCCTGATTGAGATATTCTCCAGTTCAGTCTAATTCTTACCCTGCAAATGTGGTGGGGTATTGCGTTTAAAATAACGAAGATAAACATGGCAGTTTTAATATAACCTTAAATTAATTATTTAGTCTTAAAAAATGCTCTAGCTGAATCGCAAACTGTAATGTCCGACAACAATTTAAAGACATTTTTAAAATACTTCCCTCTTTCTGTATATCAATGGAAATAGTAAAATCGAATTTCTTAGATTCAAATTCGATGAATCAAAGTGGCATCAAAATATCAAGACCAACCTGATTTTACTATTCTATGATTTTCATCATTCTCATTCATTTAAGACGTACTTAGTTTATTGATACTCGTTGCTTTATTATTGTACAATGTGTACATCATTATATTTCTTTAATAACATGTCTTTATTTCTTTTGCATATATTTTTCTTCTAAAGGTGCCCGGTGGCGTAGAGGTACAGCTCTCGTCTACCACTCTCAAGGTTGTGGGGTCGAATCATCAGCCGACTATTTTTAATAAAATAAAAATAGATGGGGTACCTAGGTCGACTCAGCCTTAAATGAGTACTTGGGATTCACAATCCATAGGTAATAATAGGCGGTTGAAGCGTAGTGCTAGCCACATTACCTTCCTTGTATACCGAACGGCTCTAGCATGTCAAGTTTTTCTTGAGCATAAAACCAGATTTTTTTAGAATTAGGTATATTTTATCCAATATAAAATCTATCACTGCTAGTTCACCGAGCTATTTGCTATTGTAACAGTAATAAAATGTGAGCAAGATCATAAATTTTCAACAATCTTGTTTTTGCACAAATTATAATTTAATCATACAATTCAAATAATATTCGCAATAATGTATAATTAAACATTATGGAACATTTCCACCCAACGCAATTATACCGTATACTTTATCAATTCCTATATTTATTATGGACGTCCAATTATATTCAGCCTGATTAAATAATTTCTCTAATTATTGCGGCGAATAATTACGTTGAAATTTTACATTCCGATATATTCGAACTGATTGCGTCATTACAAATACATGGCTAATTTTTTTTAATAATTTAAAATCCGTTAAAAAAATAAACAATTTTGGTTGCATCATTTTATTTGGTTTTATTTATAAAATAGATTTTGGGAGTTAATGAAATAATAAATACACACATGGGGGGGGGGCCAAAATTATTGCCATATAACGATATTTTTATTTTATTTTGGACCTAATATGATTCTTTTTATACCTTTGGACATATTGGCTTACTACACGACTAACTAATATAAAATTAAAAATCTAAGTGCAACTAGGCTGTTATTATAATTTTATTTCATAATGAGTGAAAACCAACAAAAACAAATTTCATTTTAAACAGAAAATATTGAAAAAATTTTAATTATTTCTCACAACTAATAGTCTGTATTGACTCCTCGAGCCTCAATGCAAGCTGTGAGACGACGTGGCATGCTCTCAATTAAGTTGTCCAGAAGATGTCGAGGAATGGCTCCCCATGTTTCGCGCGCAGCATTTCAGTTGGAGACATCGGTGGCCACAACAGTTTTCTTATACCCTCTTCCTCACAAAATTCGCGAACTAAATCGCTTTTTAAAGTGCGATGGGGAGGAGCATTATCGTCCATGTAAACAAATTCATCCTCCACTGCCCCTCGAAATGGACGCACAATAGGCTCTAAAACGTCTCTAAGGCAGCTGTCATTGTGCCATCAATAAAAACAAGAAGAGTTCGAGCTCCGTGCATTATACCTGCCCATACCATAATGCCTCTTGAAACGGGACACGGGGTTGAGCTGCATTCAAGCGTGCCGTCTTCCAGATGCTCTCCAGACCTAAGTTCGTCGCGAGTCTGACAGTAGGCCTAGTCTTGTTTTATCACTAAACATGACGAAATTCCAATTAGGTCCATTTGCTCTCATCTCATCAGCCCAGTGTAGTCGCGTAATTTTGTGCTGTAAATTAAGCTTCGGAACATGTAGAGGCCTCCTCTGTCATGGAGTCTTCTTGCTATGGTCTTTCTTGAAACATTTGCTCCTTCAAGGCGAGCTAACTCATTTTTAATAGCAGTACTAGAAAGCAGGGGATTGCGTCGTGCAATGAGGGATATTTGTCGGTCTTGCACATCAGTAGTATTCTCTCTCGACCTCATCCAGGCCGGTCTGTACCCTCGTTTGTCTCCCTGATTTTTTTAATATTCGCGAAACATCGCTTTGGTTAACTCCTACAATTTCAGCTATTGCAACTTGCCGGTAGCCCTGTTGAGACAGTGTTACTATTCTGACTCTATTAAACTGTGAAATAATGTTTCTATGCTTGGCCAAAACAATGATCAAATTTCTTCTGAAACCCAAGAGACCACAAATCGAAATGTGCAAGAATTTGTAATAATATTGGGTCTGAACGATAAACATTGTTTACCATATCCATTTTAACAAACAAATGTTTATTACAGATTATCAAAGCTATGTATAAAAAAAGATTCTTTAAATTCCTTTCCGTATATTTTTAAACAATATATGCAGTAATTTTGGCCATGTGTGTATGTATATCAAAATGCTGATATAGTAACATGGGATAAAATGATAATGTTTGTTTGCCGTTTCTTTGAACATCATATCAAAACCGCTTCGTTTAAAAAAAACGAGACATCGTGTAGAGTTATCGCGTGATATCGTAACGAGGTGCTATGACAGCGTATGCGAGTAGGCGAAATAGGTGACACGCGGATACTCGAAAGCAATCCAGCTGGTACTGAATAAGTTGTGATCAAAACTATTGTCTGTGATTTAAAAGAAATATTTATGTAATTAGTATTTTTTATAATCATAATTTGTTTTAAAACTAATGTATTTTTCTTGTCTTTTTCAGATAGGACTCAAAGGTGAATGACTATTGTAAGTTTCCGATTTTTTTGTTACATTATTTCGTTTTAGTATCATTTAGTGTAAACGTTTTATTTATTTCTATTAAGATAGTTTTAGTTTTTTATCTGGTTTTAATTTACTAATGTGATGTCGTTGATTAGATTAGTCTCAAAAAGTTTTTTGTTTTAAATCATATACACCAGTGATTCTTTTATATTTCTGGAGTTATAATAATAATAATAGCTCCCGTATATAGCGTTTGACGCCGTGGGAGTAGCAAGGTACAGTTTGCCATATTAGAGCCGTTCGGTATACAAAGGTCCCCGGTGGCGTAGAGGTACAGGCTCTCGTTTACCAATCTCAAGGTAGTGGGTTCAAATCCCACACCCGGCATTTCATCAGCCGACTATTTTTTATTAAAATAAAAATAATTTGGCTACCTAGGTCGACTCAGCCTTAAATGAGTACTTGGGATTCACAATCCTGAGGTAATAATAGGCGGTTGAAGCATAGTGCTAGCCACATTACTTTCCTTTGTATACCGAACGGCTCTAGTATGGCAAGCTATTTCCGGAGTTTATTATAAAAAAATTCTTACGATTGAGAAAAAAAACGGCGTCACAGTTGGCTTGGAAATGAAGATCGCTGTCATTATATAAAATTATATGGGGAATGTAGTCGATCCTCATTTTTAGGTCAACTTTACGCGGTTTATTACGATCTTAGATTCTTTAATTATGGTGGTAGATCTCGATAAAAGAAACATTATTTTCTCTTTAGCGTTTTTCAAATAAGTTCAAAATATTTTATTTTTTACTTTGTTATTTTACTTTGCAAATTTCCAAAAAAAAATATTTTTTGCTAAAATTTTGAACTACTGGATCTTTTCTGGATTTTCTTTCTTGTAAATTTAATCTAATACCTATGTATGTTGCCATATTATTAAGAAATTATGTTTTTTAACTAAAAACTTAAAAAAAAACCAAACCAAACATTTTTTCAAAAAATTTCCTGAAATTATTTGAACTTATTTAAGGCTCACCCTGAATAATTAATACATTATACAAACTGATTAACTGATGGTAACATAATATTAAGTAATGATATCTATGTATATCAATAATGTAGAAAATATTTTACTATTTTTTTCCATTTTATTATATGTATAGGTTTTGTAAAAAAAATTATACAATAGAAAAAGAAACTTTGTCAGAGTGGCCTTTGAAATAAAGATTGATGCTAATTTTTGAAATGAAGATTGACGTAAAAACCCAAATATAACCCCATTCATAGTCGATATAATATGTAATTTTTATATGTTGGGCTGGGAGGGGTTTTTGGAATAAATTACATTAGGATTAAAACTTTCATTTATGGCATTTCTAAGCCTATCTTAACGTTTTATTTTGAATTATTGTGGAATTTTTGCCATATATTTTTTTGTATCCTTTTTTAACATGGTAATAAGATTATGAGTGTTACGAAATACTTTTCAAAAGAAATAGTAAATAGATATAATAGTAATAGATAATTTGTTAGTAATTACTGTATTAATTATTAGTAGGTAATGTTGAATAATTTAATAATTTCTAGATTTTGATCTGATCATTTGTCAACGAATTAAGTTAATTAGCACTGTAGAGAATTAAAGTTCCAATCTCTTGACAAATTATTTATGGCTCTCAGATAACAGCTTGATGGTTTCAAAACGGTCCCAACAATGGCGGATTATCAGGAAGTCTGTCCCAAGTGGATCATTACGACAATCCCTAGAGGGATAAGACATTTTAACGGGGGGTGACATTTTACGAGTGTATAACTTAATGTTTTCAATATTACCGTTAGAGTAAAGTGGATGTAATGTTGGGTCCTCTCAAGGGTATAATAAACCTCGAACTAGAGAACGAATAATCGCTTTAAATCGAATAGGATTATGTATTAGAAGTGGTTTTTAAAAGTAACATTTATATTATATTAGAATGAAATAAATATATAGAGTGATTCAGGGTTATGGCACGTTAGACATTTATGGAGAGGTGATGGATTTTTACATAAAGGCACCTGCTCCATCTTTCTAAAATATTTTCAGCATTAGAGTGCTGCCGCATCATTCGAAATGTGGTAGCATCTTTCTTATTTTAAATGGAACACCCAGTATATCATTACATTTTTGCACTTAAATCTTTCATTAATATACTAACCTATATCTAATAGTTTTTGAGATAAAAAATAAAACGTGTAAAATTGACTAAAACATGATCGTGAATAAGCATTGGTATAATCATAAATTAAACAATTTTAAAGTTGAAATTTGGGTTATAAGTTAACGAAAGTCGATATATTCGATCTGGCTCAAGAGATCTAAAAAGTTTTGTTCAAGATCATGTTTTTGTCAATTTTACACATGTTTTATTTGTTATCTAAAACTATTAGAGATTGGTAAAGGTTAGTATAATAGAAACATTTTGAGATATGGAAGTAGTTTCGAAAAATATAATAATATATCGCGTCACCCTTTTAAAATAATAAAGATGCTACCACATTTAATACGAAGCGGCAACACTGTAATGCTGAAAATATTTTAGACCGATGGAGCAGGTGCATTTATGCAAAAATCCAAATTTTCAAAAATTTCTAGACCAAGCCAAATCTCCGGTTCTCCATAAAGGTCTAACGTGCCATGGCCGTGAATCACCCTGTATATGAATTTAAATAAAAGTACAAAATTATTACAATCATTACCGGTTATTAATGTAAGCGGTAGTTTTTTTTTCTTAATATTAGAAAATATTTTAATATTAACAAATTATTAGTTAGCTATTGAAATTAATTTGAACTGAATCTATCTTTTATTGTTTTGTGTCATTAGCTAACGTCATCAGTTTATTAATAGCTTAACATTAATATTTCTTTATCAATAATATGTGTGTATTTTTGTGGTTAGATACAGTAGTTTTAAGCTAGATCTCGCCACTAGTTTTTTGTAATCATTATTAATATTTATTTAACGAATAAAGACATTTATTATTATTATTAAAACTATATTAAAAAGGTGCATATGTCAAAATAGTTAATATAATAATCTGTTAAATATAATAATTAATTAATGTCTAATTCCGTTAAATATAATAAAAAATATATTTCCCCCTCTCTATATTAAGCTCCTTATAAGCATTGTCAAAAGCACCATAAAACTAAAGCCCCGGTTCTGAAAAGTGACGTCATCACTAGTAGGTATATAAATATATCAATTCATGAATATGTTTGTATATATCGGGGCAGCTATTCTGCCTTTACGTGCCGATTGTGTACGAAAACCATACCCTCGGTACAATAAGATGTACTGAATAAAGAAAGAAGAGCAAGTATTTTCCCAAACGCATGAAATATAGCGTCGCATTTTTCTCTTAAGGTGCGTATTCATTATCCGAACGAACGAACGAACGAATGAAAGTGCGGTATATTTAGACGGGGACCGAACGCATGCGGCCGTTCGTTCGTTCGTTCGCTCGACCATCCGTTTCGAGTCGGTACATCAAAGGCGTTCGGTATCGTACGGTCCCCGTCCATACCACTAGCGAACATTCGTTCGTTCGTTCGTTCGTTTGGATAATGAATACGCACCTTTATCTGTCTGGCTTAGAAGATCGCCATAGCTATTTAATCCTAGATATGTAAATACCAACCCAAGACTTCCCTTGCCGATATGGTCTAGGTATTAAAAGCAGAATTATAAATTATAAGATTTTGAAAAGACAGTGATTTTAATTTAGACCAAATACGCATATTATGTAAAAACATTCATTTGTTATTATTATTATTAACAAACGTTTTGGAACATATTTTTGTTTTATTTGGATAGGAATAATTTATGAGATTGTTGATACTCTTTTTTTTCTGTAAAATATTTTCTGGTTACGTCCCTTTTCTTTGACTCATAAGTTTTTTACCTTAGTATTTAAGACGGTATTCGTATAATTCGCTGAATTGTGCTCGAACAGAGAACAGTACAGAAATTCTAATTAGTTTTCTATGATAAAGGTTGAAGATGGTTTGTTTGTATTTTATGTGAAAGGGAGATAAAGAATTAATTATTTCGGAAACAAGAAACTAAAAAATACCACCAAATTTATCATTCAAAGTCACAATAGTCGACCAACTGGTGGATTAATTAATAGTTTTGCCCTCCCGGAGTTCCTTTCTGACAAATTAGTGCCGACAGAAGAGCCGTCTGGTGTCGTTATTTTGTATCTTTTTTTCGTTCTGCATTGTGTCTGCCGAGGCGTGGTTGGGCCGGTTTTATTGTTAAGAATGCAGACGGTGTGTTGCGCTGTTGAAGGTCGTTCGTGCGAATATGTAACATAAAAGCGAAATAAAAGGCTTTCAGGATCATAAATCTTCGATTGGTTAGCTGAGTTTTTATTCAAATTTATTTTTACATTTTACTAGCTTAATTGTTTCTCTTTTGTTTACATTTAACTAACTTTTATTATCGTTACTTGTATGTATATCAAAACGTTTAATAAGTTCATAGTCACTAGGTTCCTTAACATTTTTTCTCTTGCACGCTTAACTTTTGCTATGACTTCATTACATTGTAAAAATGAAAAACAAGCACTGTTACATTTTTACGAGTGCCTGGTTTACCTTCATTTTTCACAGAAAATTTCTTCCGTAGGGAAAATACCGTACATCACTTTTTACAACGATAACAAAACAATTATACATAACCACAAAAAACAAAGCGAATTTACGCTAGGTGTCTGTCAACGTTGCCACCGTTTAGCCCAATTTAATGTTATCCTTATATTGCCTATTATTCAACTTATCCTTATTTATCCATATATTTTACAACATGTGGCAACCGCGCTAACTGAAGCTTTCAAACTCACTGCCATCGTCCAGGGAATGTCCATCGTCTTAGACCGCATTCATTAGTAAAAGTTGGTTTCAAAAATAACTGAACTTTTACTGGCGTAGTCTTAGCCATGCAGTGAATGTGAGCTTTTACTAGTAATCTTTAACAATCC